CTGCTTCTTTCTAGTTATTAAATTTCTTCTGACCAGAACATTTAACAAACTTTTCTTTTTACCAGTGTTCATTTTGTAACATGAGGTAGGGATATATTTATTATCCCTGTTATGCTTTTCCATTTCCAGAGACTTTGAGTAGCTTATAGTTACAGTATTAATACAAATAATTCATTAGTTTTTCTTAAATATATTTATTTTTATTTATTAAATTTATATGCCACCCATCTCCCCCAGAGGGTGACCCTGGGCAGCTCACAGTTAAAATAAAACCTCACAAACAGTTAAAAATATAAATAGCACATTAATTTAGTTAAAAAATTGAATTATATAAAAAGACCATATACATAAAAAGACTAAAAACACTCAAGATGACATGTTACTATACATATAGTACATGTGTTACATAACATAAATATATGTTGTATGACATCTGTACTATATGTATAGTAACAATCTTATGCATCCTTAACTGAGAAAATACCTCTGAGTTAATATTTATTTATTAAATTTATCTTTCTACACATAATTGTTCTTTGGTGTTAGTCTGAATGTGTTTAGAGTTTTACCTCATGACCATTGCTTTGGGTGCAGAGATGTGATATAAGAAAAATCTATGTTTAGCTTTTTTTAATTCCACACCTATGTATCTTTCATGAAGAGACATGTATGTTGACTAAATACACAGAATTCCAGCATATCGGATTGAACCATGTAATTATCAGATTACTGCTTGGTTCACTCCCAGACATTTGTCTCTTCAGCATTTGAAGGATTCTGTATTAAGAGTATGCCTAATATCACCATTATGATACATTAAAAAAAGTATGCAAAAGCTTGTTTGACCAGTTGTATGCCTTTGGGCTTATATCAAGATAAAACATCAATATTTCTTCTTTATTTTTGTGAGAAAGATCTCTATGGAATTGTTTGTATCATGTAATTTTGCCTGTCACATATTTTAAAATACCAGGAACATGTAGACATTTAATTAGTCTCTGAAAATCAAGTGTAATTGCCAAAAGTATCCTTAATTAGTTTTGTGCAAATCATGATAAATTTGCCAGGGAAAACTGGATGACTTATAGATTTATATATTCATTTTATTTTAACCCTTTTATGGCAATTTGGTCTACTTGGTTAAAGCTTGTCATCTAAAAATAAATAAAAATAAATGACTACATTTAATTTTATTAAGACCTGTGCTTGTATTTAAGCTGCATCCTGATTTGTTGTACAGAGGTCTTGTTTTATACTAACCCTTTCTGTTGATGGTGGGAAGGATAACTATTGAACTGTTAAAAATGTAAATGTAAGTCTGCAAGGTAGAAAGGATGGTACTACTTTGGTCTTCAGTGATCTTTGCTTTGTAGCATTGCATCCACAAACACTTTAAACCCAAAAGCAGTATTTAAAAGATAAAATAGTGAGAACTGAAAATTAGCACTCAATTCTGCAATTCCAAGGGGGGGGGGAGGGAGGCATGCTGGAAGCAATTACAAAATCTGCAAAGTGGAATGAATGAATTTTGCCTGTATTTGGAATATTCATGAGGAACACTAGATTTTGTTTGGTGAAATTTATTTCATTATATGTTATTACCTTTTGTGATACCTAAGCAGCAGTTTTGGGCATCAGGAAAATTTTTCAAAGAACATTTAGAAATGTATTTCAAATAACTAAAATTGATGGAGCCTTCAAAAATATACACTCAAATATGAAGTATTTAAATACAAAGTAGTACAAATTACAAATATTGTAATTTAAATACAATACATTGCTAATAGATGAAAACCTGATTTGTTATGAAATGTAAACTTTAGCATTAAGTAAAAGGGTCATTTTATTTATGCAATTTCTATAGAGCTCTAATTAGGCATTTTTACTTTCAGTAAAAGTGCATATTTCTTTAATTTTTAATATATTATCCCTCTGTAATGAATATTCAGTTTTTCACAAGTGTCAATTTATGGAGGCTGATACTCAGGGTTTTTTTCTTTTTTTGTTCTCAATAATAAATTTGCACCTGCAGATAGCTATGTATGTTGATCTATTATCTGAAGAATTGAGCAGAGTAAGAAAATTTGGCAAAAGCTTCAGGATGGCTATAAATGTGTATTGTGATCATAATCCAGGTCAAAGAGTTGTTAAAATATGTTTATTATGTCATTACATTTTAACTGGTCCTCATAAATGTTATACTTTTTGTGCAGGTCTTTGCTGTATCCAATGGTTTGTTCCTGCTGCCAGAATGACGTATGTGAGAAAAATGAATTCTTCCTCTTTAAACATTTGTACTGGGTAGGCAGAGATTGAAGACATCTGAAGAACTAAAGAGTGTGGGGGAAATAGAGCAGGAAAAGTTTAGTTTGGCCATTTAGTTTAATGGTTTTTCTGTCTTAAACTGTAATTACAATAAGGGGCTTTCTTAAAAAAAATTAAGATCCCAAACAAAAAACTTTAGTGTAACATAAATATAACATTCACTTATACTACTCAAGTGTGCTTTTCAGCTTCAAATTGCTAATAAAAGCTTTTTGCATGTGATATTTTTTAGTTTTTGGGGTGAAGGAAGTTGGCTTAAGTGATACAGTGGAATTTTTGATCAATTTTACTAAAAACTGAAATAGATTTGAATCATTTATTTAACACACTTTCTTTTTGACTAGCTGAAAAGAGCATCTTATTATATAACTAAAATTACTGCCGTACAGTGGTACCTCGGTTCACGAACTTAATTCATTCCGTGACTCTGGTTGCGAACCGAATTGGTCGTGAACCGAATCAAATTTCCCCATAAGGTTCAATGTAATTACGGTTAATCCGTTCTGAACCATGTTTTTTTTTTTTTTTTTAAACCACAAAAATATGACAAAGTACAGCACGAAGAGAGAGAAAGCTAACCTTGCTCAACGCGACTTCTGGCATGGAGGACAGGAAGGCGGGTTAGGAGGCGGATATTGCTTGGAGGGAGAGTCCCCCTCCCTACAGGAAGCTGCGACCACGTGTAACGGGAGGGAAAATGGCCGTGGATTCTGTTCGTAACCCGATCCGGCGTTCGCGAACAGAGGCAAAATTTTGCGAATGGAGCTGTTCGTGAACCGAATTGTTCGTGAACAGAAGCGTTCGTGAACCGAGGTACCACTGTATTTTGATTAGTACCATATATTAAAATGACTTCAAATGCTTTAAAAATATGCATTTGGTCAAATATATTTGGCAGTAAGGATTTTGTAAAAAAATGAAAATGCTGATAGCAGTCATTTAAATATTTATAACTGTATCTAATAATTTCGCACCTGGCTTACTTTTATATATCTCTTCATGTTATGTGCATAGAGGTGCATGGAAAAGTTTGACCCTTGGTCATATGGTATGTCTGCATGATACCCTTAAGCAGAAGCTGACAGTATATCTGCATGATACAAAGTTAAACAGGATATCTTTCTTCAGTTCAGAATACATACTATTTATGTGCCATTGTTTATAGATTCAAAATAAGGAACTACTCACTGAATATGACAGGTGCAGATTCTTCCTTCTGAGCCTGCCACTTGCTGTAGACACTTCCTCCAATAGCCTCAAAGCAAATTAATTCATTATGTCATGGGAAGATATGGTCTTTAAAAAAAACTAATTCATATAACTGTCATTTCGTTATAATTAATTTACTTATATCACAGGAAACTATTAAAATATGTGGCTGAAAAAAATTGTACTTAAATACTGTCAAATCTTGTACTTCCAGTTGATCCACAAGTTTCTTGAGCTCAGTGGATGCCTTTATTTTTATTATTTGTATTCAAGTATAGTACAGATTTAATTACCTTTTATCCTTTGCACTGCTTTCATTTGGGAAAGCCCTTAAAACATGACTCAACAGGTCCTGGGACAGGGTGCTTTGTGACTCCATACTGATACTGGGATTTTATTCCCTAATTCTTTGTGTTTCCTTCTCTAATATCTTGCTTATTAGTGTTTTCTATTTGTTTTAATAAGTTGTAAGTTGCCTACAATCACTTGGGACGATTGACGCAGATTATAAATTGAATAAAAAAACTCTAAAAATAATTAGATTACTGTTTACTAAGGGTTTTTTTTTTTTAAGTTTCAGAGTAGAACCATGAATCTGAGTTTTGTTTAAATTTCATACTACCCATTCAATGGCTTTTTAAAAATGCATTCTGATTAAATCTTTGTTGACATAAGTATCCTTGTTGAAATAAATATCTAGAAAGGAGACCAAGTTTAGCTGTAGCTGAAAGACTGTTTCAAAGCCCCCATGTGTCTTATCTATGTTCTAGCTGAAATCTTACATTGATTTACTTGGAAATAAAACCAACTGAATTTGTAAGGTGAACTGCATCATCCTGCCTCTCTTGTCTGAGTGTAATGTGGCATTTGTGGGGTAGGCTAATAGCAGATCTTAAAATATATACTTTTAAACATTCACATTATTTCTACCACAAAAGATACTGTCAACTCCACTAAGTAGACCAGACCAGGAAATCAACTCCACAGGGAGACTAAAAAAACACTTTGAGTTAGGGTACAGTAACAGCTTCTTGCAAGTCTGTGCTGTACTTGCCCTCCTTCTTATGTGGGTGAGAGAGGTGTTTGCCTGAGCAGTTTCCGATTGTTAATCGTACTTCCCAGATTTAAAAATTCAGCCCTCTTTGCTTAGGTAAATGGTCTTGCATGTTTCTGTTAAGGTTATCTCCCTTACTCTCTACACCCCCACAACCCTGCGGTGTAGGCTAGTTGAAGAAAGTGACTGGCAGCCATCCAGTACTAGCAGGGACTTACATCTGGCTCTTGTCTAGAGTTAAAACACAGGAATTTTATGCTCGTAAAACCCCGAAGTCCTGCAGTAAGACTCCACCACGCCCAGAAGCAAAGGGACTGGCTCCTGGGAAGAGGAGCGCAAGAGTCCTTCCTCGCGTATTACTCAGCAGTCCGAGTCTCTTCCCGTAAACCGATTACCCCCGAAACATCATCTTTTAACTGAGAGGATTCATAGGTGTGGCAGTCATCTCCGTCATCGCTGGCCTCTAACCGCCGTTTGCTTTTCACCCGGCGAGTTTTAATGGCCAGCCGGCGAAAAGCGGCCTGCCCCGGCCCAGCCCGCGCGAACTCGCGCTTCCCAATCTTGACCGGCAGCTTAAGTCCGCCAACAGAAGCTTGGGGGAGGGGGAAATTAACACTTCTCCACAACGATTGGCTGATGGAGGGGTGACGAATCTCGGCGGGGGGAGGAAGGCCCCGTTGGCTCCGCCCACAAAACGCGCGGCGTCTCGGCTTGCCGTTCGCGTCGGCGTCGTCCGCGGGGCTGGGAGGTGCCTGGCGCCCTCACGTCCTGCACATCCTC